GATAAATTCATATGGGGAAGCTCTAAATCATATTTCTATATTGAAAAAATTTGCTAAAGATGATTTCACTGCATTTCAACATTTGAAAAATTTAGAAAGTTATTACGAAAATTATCTCCTTCAGCAAAAGATGGTGAAATTTCGTCAGACAAACATTTTAAACTTTTTTCAACAAGCTAAAGAATAATGTTTTTTTTAAATTCTCGTACCATGTATTGAAGCATTTATGTTTTTGTATGCGTATATGTACATATATTATATAGATATATAGCATAAATACATACTTTAAAAATGTGGCGAGTTTCTGTTTCATTTTTCTCATGATTATAATACCTCATTTCCTCATGATTATATACCCCGTTATTTATACTCTATACTTACATACTCTCTTTTAAACGGACACCTCCCATAAGCGGACAAAAGTTACGGAACCGTGAGTGTCCGCTTATGGGAGCTTTCACTGTACATATATACAGGGTGGCCCATCCATGTGTGAACGGAATATTACTCATAAACAAATACATTTTGGAAAAATCTATTTACGGGATGTTGTACATGACATTTGAGGGCACATTTCTAAAATATTGGTCATTATACTCTCAATTTCGACCTAAATATAAAAGTTGTGATTTTTCAAATGGAATGCCTCAAATTTTATTGCATATTTGGATAAACTATGTCAAAAGAAGGGAATTGATTTAACATACTATGCGGTTTTGGTCATTAGCTACTGACATATAAGGTGTTCTGCCTAGAAAAATCCCCCACTTCGGCAACCCCCCAGTCCACCATTTTGAAATTTAGACTGCTGAATTTTGTATCAACAAAACTTACACGCCTCAGCTTTTATCTTTTTTGTTACTTTTTCGAATTTTAATTTTTGCTCATACAGGGTGGTCAATAACGCAAATTGTAGTTTTTCTCAAAAATTTCAAATGCATCGTCCTGTATATTTCTGCAAATTTAGATTCAAATTTGTATAAGCTTTTTTTTATACCAGACACATAAGGGTCTTTGCGGCTATTTTTTCGGTTATTAGCACGTCTTTTATAGAACGGCTTAATTCCCCAAAGTATCGCATCATTCTTGGAAACAAATAAATTGTTGATTAGTTACAAACTGTCAAAATTAGCTTTGCGAGCGTTATAACAAAAACGTGTTTGAACATGAATTGTTGTTGGGCAACTTCGACAAAATTTAAGCAAGGAGGGCTCTTTATACTTTTTTAATCTCTCTAGCTTTCAATGGTCTTTGCCATCATCATCAGGAGAGTAGTATATGAGGATGTTGCTAAGTGTTATTTATGTTGAAGATGAGGGAAACACCCAGTAACCTGGTGAGAGCCGGATACATGGTACATTAGTCAAAATTATACAAACTACACACAGCTGTATGCCAAGAACAAATTAAAACAGATTAAAAATATTCAAAACCTTCAAGTAGTTCAAGTGGTTCATGATGTAATGTTTTGTTCTTGGCCTACAGCTGTGTGTAGTTTGTATAATTTTGACTAATATACCATGTATCCGACTTTCACCAGGTCACTGGGTGTTTCCCTCATCTTCAAGGTAAATAACATTTAGCAACATCCTCATATACTACTCTCCTGATGATGATGGCAAAGACCATTGAAAGCTAGAGAGATTAAAAAGTATAAAGAGCCCTCCTTGCTTAAATTTTGTCGAAGTACCCAACAAATAGCGGAAGCTTTAGTTTTTCTTCTAACTTTTATAGATTTAATGAATCCATCGCATTTTGGGCTCTTGTTAACTTTTTCGAAAAGTTTAGTTGTTTACTATAGGAAGGAACCAGGGAGGGAAGAGGGAACAGAGGATTCAAGAGCAGATTTTGGGATATGTCTAAGCGTGGAGGGGGGGTCGCAGTGGCGGTCACAGCATTCATCTTTAGTATGTTCGTCGCCCGGAGGATTTACCATCTGGGATGGATGGCAGACTTGGGGGTGTATGAAGGGCAGATCGCCCCCCTCTAAGTACGCCATTCACAGTATTGTTTGTAGTAAGAAATATATTGAAAAAATCGTTTTATCATGTTCATAGCTAAATTATATACAGTAGCTAATATTATAAGGTAGAAAAAAGTTTTATTGGATATAGAAAAATATTTGATGATCCTTATCGTTGTCGTCAATGTCTTCACTATCTTCGTCACAATTATCGATGTCAATATCGCCTTCTCCGTCAGTTTTTGTAACAATTTGACTGAGCTGGTACAATTATGAATAATATTTTATGAATAATAATTAAACGTGATAATTAGATACCTGTTAAGGTTTTTATAGAATCAGTAAAATAATTTGGTAGCTGAGCCCCTTCAAACTAATAAAACTGTTATTTGTCATATTTCATATGTCGTAGTTGACAGACCATTGACCATTTTTTGAAAAACCGGATCAACTGTATCAATTGTATAAACAACAGTCAACACAGTCATAGATCGCAGAAGACCAAGCTCACTTTTTCTACAAAATCACTTGAATATATACCGCCTCGCGGTCGCAGCTACGGCAGACTTGTAATGTGTCAGGCTTAACGATTAAAGCTGCCTGCTACTGGGGTAACATCTTTTGATAGTCCCCCAAGTAACATATGAATTTCAGCTTTTATACGATGACGAAAGATTAACTCCAAAATTTATTAAAGTTTCATGGGTATCTGGCAGGGTTTGAAAGTGTACCAAGTGCCTTGCAATGGATGAGGTCATTTCTAATACCGTTCTGAAAGAAATATAAAAAATTGGGCTCGTTACTTCAACGAATTTGAGGTACTATTTTAGACATCTTTGCTATCTTTTGCCCGCCAAAATAACCACCATCCAAATTTTGTAGTCGCTGATTAGTCTCCGATTTGACAAATCATCTGCTTCTATAAACATTTTTCATGTTCGATCTCAACCCTTGTGACTGGAATTCCTGCATCAATTGCAACTTTAATGCACCAGAATATGAGACATACAGTCTCAAAAGTGGAGAGTCAAAATATCATAAGGTAGATAAGAGAAAATGTCGAAAAGGTCTATATCTTTGAAAATTCTCCATCCCTGCGCACAGTCGTACCGAATTTCGGAGACAGGATGATCTAGCTTATACTTTTGACTAAAGTTGTACTTTTGGTGTCCGAGAATTTGTGAAATTCTGTCTCCAAATCGAAAAATGCATTACAACGATAGAAAAGAAAATATTGAAAACGTCTGTTTCTTTGGTAATATTTCATGTTCAGTTTGGCCGATTCTGGGTTACAAAATACAAAAACTTATATATAGAAGTGACTTTATTGGTAGTTTATGTACACTACAATGTGTAAGATTCAGTCCGAACTGAACAATGTAGATGACAATAGCTGAGATAATATTGTTATCTGTTTTTGTGGAACTCATTCAGGTTCGGTCTAACCGATTTTGGGGTACAGATTTTTGTAGCTTATATAAATGCCTCGAGCTGCAACTTCTGTGTACTGGAATTTGTGAGATGAAGCTTTCCAGTTGGGAAATGTATATAAGATATAAGAGAAAATTTCACAATTTATTTGATATTTCTTGATAGCTGCAACGCAGTCTCACCGGATTTCGAACACAGGTCGGTCCTACTAGGATCTATGACTTAAGTTGCACCTTTTGTGTACATGAATCTGAGAAACGCAGTCTCCGAAGTGAAAAATGTAGGTAACGATAAAAGAGAAAACATCGAAGGGTTGTATCTTTAGTAATCCATTATCACTTTAACAGAGAAATACTCAGTTTCACCGGCTTTTGGTACTCAGGATGTTGATGCATACCTGGCTGCAATGTATGTGTACCATAGTCTGTGAAATACTCACCGAAATGAAGGATGAAAACATCTTTTTCTGGACAACTTTAGTTAGTATGCAGTCTTATTGAGGTTTAGTGCACTGAGTGGTGCAACTATATGAATAATTTTAGTTGCCACTTTTGTGAGCCACATTCGGTGAGGCACGGTCTTTGAATTATGAAATATAGATTATACTAGTTCCAAATATGTTTCTTGTGTGATCGTTCATTGCTGTTATACCTAGTCTAACCGACCTTTGCGTATCAGAATGTTGTAACTAGATATACTTAGTTGTACCTCCTGCATTGCAGAAGCTGTGAGAAACAGTCTTCAAACCAGAGGGAAACTTGTTACAGTTTATTGGTACCATACTCCGTGAGAGACACCCTTCGAACCCAAAAAATTCAATGACGCTATAGAATAGAGGATTGCTTCTCTGGAGAACGATAGTCGCACCAGCTTACGATATGACTAATTGTTTGTATCTTGGATAGTTGCTAGTATATGCACGATCTTAAATGTAGCTTCAAGGTACCACATTCTTTGAGGTACAGTCTTCGAGTTGGGAAGTGTAGATAACGATAGAAGAGGAAATACCGAAAAGGTACGTTTGTTGTAATATTTTATCGTTATTGTACAAACATGAATGTTTAGGCTCGCCAATTTTAGTAATGGCGTTATATCTAGATGTATGACTTCAGTTGCAACTTATGTAGTACATCAACATTTTAGTGACACAGTCTCCGAACTGAGAATCGTCAACATCATTAGAAGATAAGTTTCACCGACCTTAGGATGGACACAGGAGGCAATTAGATGTACAAGTCTGTGAACATTTGTGTGAGAAACGAACTGAAAATGGAAACAGCGTTAGGATCGAAAGGACTGTTTGTTCTAAATTTGTTCGTCTGAAACATGTAATAATAATAAATAATCTTTTTTGTTTTTGGCCTCTTTCTCTGCTGCCACTTGGTCGATTTTCAAAAACTAGCCTTTGCGTCCTTGGCAGTGTAGCAACATTGTCTTCACATCTCATTAAAAACCGAGCGGTACTTTTCAAGTTATAGGCGGATATAAGATTAGCCGACAGACCGACGGAAATGGACGAAATGGTTCTTCATGATGTACATGTCATACGACTATGATATCCAAAATACATAATATCTTATTTTAGGTTAGATTGGTTTTTGCAAAGCGAACGGCAGATCGGCAGGGCTCATTGTGGATAAAGATTTTTTTTTCGAAAAGAAAGAATGATGAAGAACTAAAATGAAGATTGAATGAGAATGAGAAAAGGCTGTAAAGTTAGTGAAAGAAGGGTCCATTTTGAAAAGCACTGTGTAGTCGACCTTCCCGTAGTAAGTACATTTGCTGTCTAGAAGCTGCTTGGTAACTGTATGTTTTAAGATTGATATTGTATCGAAAAGGTATTCAAATATGACTTATTATTCGTACTTCGATCCTATTCTGGAAATATGTAAACTTGCCCAGATAGATCGGAGCTCTTTACAGTGTTTCTTTGAAAATGGGTTCGTAAAGTATTATGTTCTGCACAAGTTGGCACCTCCGAGAAAAAAACATTAATTGGATCAAGTTATTCAAACAGATTCATACAATTAAGATTTGCATACTTTACTTTCTCTTTTTGTACAATTTTGGAGCTCTTTAGGAGTTGGCTGCCTGAGAAAATATGCTCTTCCTCGCGCTTCAGAAAGGTTTGGAGGTAGTATTGCTTTCACACAAAAGTTACCTCTTGTCGATAGATGGCCCTCCTCCTTCCGCTGAGAATTCCTAATGCCGCATATGCTGCTACAAACTTGCGTCGCCATAGTTTTCACTGGGTTATATTCGTTTAAAAAGGGGACAAAAGACACCTAGTTCCGACGTTGTCTCATATTGTAATAAAAATTCTTATTCTGATCCCTTGGGATAAACATACATTTGAGTTTTGATGCACGCATAGTGAAACACCACCGGCCAACTGTATAGCTCGAGCCTTACAACAAATAGTCATAAAATGTATTCAAATATGATTTATTTTATTAGTCCTTCTATCCTAAACTGGAAATATGTCAACTTGCGCAGATAGATCGAAGCTCCTTATACTGCTTCTTTGGATTGTATGTTTTAAGATTGATTTTGAGTTGAAAATGCATTCAAATATGACTTATTATTTATTAGTACTTCGATTCTATTCTGGAAATATGTGAACTTGCCCAGATAGATTGGAGCTCTTTATTGTGTTTCTTTGGAAATGGTATGTTTTCAAGATCGATGTTTATTTAAAATATGAAGACTAATTTAGTGAGCGCATTTTAGGTATCTTACCTACAAAAGAGTCGATTGGGCTCTGCAAGGTGAATGGCCGATGGGCATCAAGAGCAAATAAGTAAAAATAGGTATAAAATTGACAAATAGGCTTTTTATCGTACAAAAATACAAATACTGCACGTTTCAGGTTAAGAAAGAGATGGAGAGACGGAAACAACGAAATAAGGAATAAAACTGGAAAACTGATGAATTGTCCTGTGTAAGATATATTTTGATATTTTGAATAAGAATTTTTGTAGATATTCTTACTCAGTGAAGGTTTTGTATACGCATTCATGAGTTTGAGTGGATGTTATGTTTTGCCAAATTACACCATCTCACCCATTTCCGTCGGTTTGTCTGTTTGTCCGCTAATCATTGGCCCCTGTATAACTTAGGTAGCACCTGTCGGATTTTGATGAAGTTTTGTCACAACCTTACTGCTAAAATAATAAAAATCGTTCGTTTCAATGTACTGCTCATTTTCAGAAAAACATTTTGAGCGGGTTATTGTAAGGGGTCAAGCGTATCCTGATGTTTTATTATGAACCATATTCGTCATCGTGTAGGGATACTTACGAGCAGCCTGTTGATGCACGAGTATCCATCACGACCTAAGTCTTTAAAGCTGCTTATACCGCCAAGGAGTAAAAGCTTCGCCAGTGTTACAGATCACTCTTTAAAAAATCATCTATTGTGCCATTTCCAAGATGTTGGGTAAGAGATAGCTGTTGAGTACGATAAATAGAAATACAAATATTCAACGTCTATGGGAATCTAACGGAGAGTTCATATAAGCTCTAGATTCAGAAGATTGACTAATTGAAGTTGAATCAACTAGTTTAGGAAATATGCCAGGTAAGCACATTTGAAAATCTTGTTTATTTGCAAACATAATAAATATTTGAGATGATCTAGAAAGTAAAAAGTGTCTGGAAATCGGTTTTTCTTAGGTACCTTTTGAACGACACTGTATAATTAATCGAAATTTTGTCAGGTCCGTAAGCAACTGTAGTTTAATTTGGTGGTGTTCACGGAAAATCACTGACTCGCTTATAACGTGAGGGGCTCACTAGCTACAGCGCAATGTTGCCAACATTTCTTATTTAAAAAAAAACGGATATCCAGTAGCGGCTAGCGGCCATTACGGCCCTGTATACCCCTAATAATGAACTTGTGGCATTCTCTTTTTGTGTTCTATTTGTATACGAGAAGTTGACATATTCTGATACTACACTGCATACACATTTTGATGTCCTCATTTCATTATAAACCTTATAAATATTTCAGATAGTGACGAATAAGGGTATAAATATTTTTGTGACAGTTCAGCGTATAGTTTGCACTCTACTATATGAAGACTTTACATGATCTAAGTTAATGAGTATGGCAATTATTCATCTTAGACATTTTTGAAAATTTCAAACATTTATTTTTACATGGTGTAGAACTTACTGATCCCATCATGACGTTTCCCTAGCAGTCTGACGTTTTGATAACAACAATAATGAGGAGATCTTCAATCATTTTTAATACAATATACTAAATATTTGTTTTAGAGAATGATGACGGAGGCCGAAGAAGTAGATGCTCCCAGGAGGTTATGTTCTATTACATTTGAATATCAATACCTTAATCAGACAACCGCTGTTTTAGTAAGTAATGTACGCTTCTGAAGGATTCTACACTTTTCTGAAACTAACAAAAAATTTATAATTTTTAAAAGTAAAATCTAGTTCATCTTAGATGTTTTGCAAAACTTCAAAGATTCATTTTTTACATGATGTAGAAAGCTGACTTACTGATTATATCATGCCGTCTCTCTAACATTCTGATATTCTGATAAGAATAATAGTCAGGAGCTTCTCAATCATCTTTAATATAAAATACCATACAACATTTGTTTCAGAACATGATGAGAGAGATCGAAGAAGTAGATGCTTTTAAGACATATTTGGACCATGTTGTATGATAACTGAATATCAATCCCGTAATCAGACGACCAGTGTTTTAGTAACAGGACTTTATTTCAGGTAAGTTGTGTACTGTTCGCAGGAGTCAGTCCCAAAAATTATTCACATATTTTAAACAACGCTATTAAAATGATATTGTTAAATTAGAAACGCACCTGAAGAATTGCACTGATTCTATCGTGACGTTTTCCTAGCAGTCTCATATTTTGATATCAATAATAATGAGGAGCTTTTCAATCATCTTTGATACAAAATACTATACAACACTTGTGTCAAAATATCTTTAGGAAGATCGAAGAAGTAGATGATTCTAAGACATCTTTAATGTTCTATTATATCTGAATGTCAACACCTTCTTTTAGTACTAGAATTTTAATTCGGGTATATTATGTTCCCTCTCCCTCTTCCTTTTTGTGGAGCTAGTCTCAAAAATATTTAACGAACTTAAAACGCTCAAACTTTGATTTTGATGTTTCAGAGGTTCCTTATCTTTTTCAGGAAAAAAATTGTTGGCGTACTCAATTTAAGTAAACAGTTTATAAATTTTAATTAAACCAGTTTCCTAGATCCAAGTAAACTGATTTATGAATTGGAGTTCAATTAAACTAATGAATCTTATTAGCAGTCAAATGGTTAATTAAATTTTTAATTGACCTTATTAAAATTTTTCTTGCTTAAATTAAATTCGGCATATCTGCCAATATAATTTATAATATTACCGATAAAAATCATACAGTTTTGTTAATAATGATGACGTGAGCATGGTTAATAAGGTACCAGGCACAAAACATATGAGATTTGACCACCGGTCAATTTTCCAGAAAATTCATATAGTGATAGATCATGTTTTGCTGGTCAAATGTCCCTATAAACAAATTCTGAATACAAATAATATAACAACTGTTTCAGAAGAAAATGAAGCAAATTGGAAAAATGGATGGTCAATTGCAAGACATCTCAGGGAAATATCAGTACCTAAGGATGAAAGTAAATGAAGGAAAACCAAATGATTATTCAGATCAGAAATATCGTTCACGTAACTGTTTGAATATGTTGTTCATGAAGCAGCTCCAAATGATGTAGAAAGCAGGAAAACTGGTCTTATGATGACAGTTTGCCAACACTCACGCTGATGAAATAGTTTAAAGCTATAGCTAACATTTCGCATTTTTCAATATAGTAGATACAAAATGTCGTTAACCGTTTCAGATAAAAAGAAACAACGAGTGTACTAGAAAGACTGAGGATCAGTTGTAAGATGGACAATATTATATTACATCCAAATATAAATGCATAAAGATGAAAATGAGATACTTTTGGCTTTGTATAAGACAACTGCCGTATCGACATAGCAATAGTTTAGGTGAGCCAGCTGTGAGAGATATACTATTGAGCATTTTTGGTTATAGCTTGGTTTCATGAAAATATTTCACGCAATTTAAAAAGAATTCGTTTTTACGTAAAAAATAAATTATCGGTTTAGTAATTTACGGTCCCGGTGTATATAGAGAACGAGCCTTTGTTGTTTGGGCGCCCTTATGGATTCTAGCGTCAAACTAACATAAAATACGAATAATGATCTAGTGTGTGACACGAGTACTCATTCGTCGTTCTGACGAAAAATTTTTATATATAATCACACGATCAAACGAACTTACCTGTAAGTGATATTCGATCTTAATTATATTAAGTCCTCGTCGAAGTAAACATTTAGAATATATATCGTAGTACTCGTAGTAGCCAACCGCCACCGCGTCCCCTCTACCTACTTTCCTCCCCTCTGGCCGCCTATAAACCTTCATTTACTTCAAAGCCAAGTTGTTGCAACGATTGGGTGATAGATAGGAGAGAGGGAGCTATTTACTTCGACGAGGACTTCACATGGCTAAGATCGAACATCACTTACAGGTAAGTTCGTTTGATCGCGTAATTATGTTCTGTCCTCATCGAAGTAAATATTCAGAATGCGTATGGTAGATGTTCAAAGCTAGTTGCAACAACGTACTACTAACGTTCTGCAATAGTAAACCATGGTTGTACACAACTACACAAATTATACGCAATGCATGTGTCAACTAAATGTACATTTCCATTGTAACAATTCAAGTTTAGGCTTTTAGCAACAGGTAATATGACGTACATGGTTCAAAAATTACTATCCATTTCATGGTAATGAGCAAATAACGTAATAACATAGTTATGTTTAAGGTGTGGAGACTTGGTTCACCTCAAATGGCGCTTGAGCAAAGCTGTTGTTTGGCATAAGAGATTTGTGACGTATCTCAGAAAACGCAGTCCAGCCCGCCACGAGCCTGATACTACTATAAATTAGCAGGCGGAGAGGTAGACGCATTTCATGTACTGTGGGCTGTCAATTGAGACACTCTCTGCTAAAACCGACTTCATCCATCTGGGACCCGAGGCACCATGATAAAGATACTGTACAGTGACAAGTAAATGCTTTGCACAGATATTTGGGCATAAAATACGGTATAACTTAAGTGGTTGCCACATGAGTGACCCCGAGACTTTTAAAAACTGAGAAATCCCAATTTCAGTATTATTCAACCCAATCTGATGTGGTCTGTTTCAATTAGTTTGCACAGTCTGACCTGAGGTTAGAGCTA